TTAGACCAAGAAATTAGATTGGAAGTAACATTACTGACTTTAACGAAGATGAGATGTTTATATTGCCATCGTACAGTGCCTCAAAGCAGGTCATCATTCGACAAAGGCGCCCAGAAGGTAGTACAAGAAGCTTTACGTCAGTCACATATGTGTTTATTTTGGAGAAACACCGAAAAACCAGTATTGGAGACTTATTTCTTCTTCATGACTCTGTAGATTAGTTGGAAAAAAGAATTCTGATATTTGGAACCCACCGCAATCTAAAAAATTTAGCAGAATTTAAAAACTAGGCTGTAAACGGAACCTTCAAGGTGGCTCCACATTTTTTTTACAGTTATACATACACCTTACATGCTCCTATAAATAACAAGGATGTGCCAATGATCTACGCTCTACTTGAGGATAAAAGAAGGGACAGTTACACATAAGTTTTTCAAAAAATTATAGATTTGGAACCAACAGCCAAACCTGATAGCATTGTGACCGACTTTGAAATGGCGCCTCTTTTTCTGCAATTACAAACGTGTTTCCTGAGACAGAATTAGTTGGATGTCAGTTTCAGTTATCACAAAGTCTGTGGCGGAATATCCAGAAAAAAAGGATTAACAAAAATCTACAATGAATGAAAAAAAGATATAAGAATATACTGAAAAATGCTACTAGCATTAAGTTTTCTGCCTCCCAGGGACGTTCAATTCGCACTGGAAATTATCCAAGAAGATTTTCCACAGGAACTGGCTTCCATTGTTGCCTACTGGGAGAAAACTTACGTAGGTCGAAGAATACACCATGCCCAACCCAAATTTGAAATTGATCTTTGGAATGCATACGATCGCGTATTAGATCTTCCGAAAACTAATAATTCAATTGAGGCCTGGCATAATGCATTCCAACATGCACTGGACTGCTATCATTCAACAGTCCACAGATTGTTAGATCAAATTCAGAATGAAAAAAAAAAACAAAAGTATTTATAACGAAGCATAGAGCTGGTATTAGAGATTCCGAAAAGAAAAACAAGTGCATCAGGCAGAAGGAGAGATTGCGTAACATAGTTCAAGAATATTCCTGTATAAATGTCAAACAGTATCTCAGATCGGTGGCAATGAATGTATTCCTCTAGTTTTTCTTGCGTCACATATTGTTAATTTTTGGTTCAGTAAAAATTTTCTTCTCACTAACCGATTTTTTTGAACTTCTATTTCTTATATGTATCACAAATAAAATCGCACTTGAAAATGATGCTGTTTTTTTTAAGATGACTCTCTTTAAAGTTGTTTATTTGAATTTCGCTTTTCCGATATTTTTTTTTTTTTTTTTTTATTTATTTATTTTTATTTATGACTCAGAATCAGTGTAAATACACTGGTATTTGAGCCTATTTTTCAGTTATTTACAAATAATAATTTTCACAATATTCCTATAACTACGTATTCACATATTAATTTGTACTGTTTTAAATAATTTAGTGTGATTGTGAAAAATGTCTTTTAAGGTTATAGCAAAGTTCTTTCATATTATTCACTTCGAATAGATTTTGTGGTATGTGGTTATATGTTTGGATTCCTCTGTAGAGTGGAGAATTCTGAGTTTTCACAGTCCTAACCATGGGGTTTCTTAATCGATCGGCATTGCGTACATCATAGCTATGGTAGTTTTTAACTTGTTGTATATTTGAATTGATTTTTATGACTTTAATTTTTTATACTGTAAATGAATTTTGTTTGTTTATATACTTCCTTTGTCGACGTATAGAAGTCTATTTGAAAAATTGTCTTTACTGCCTTATTCTGAGCTCTTTGCAATTTCTCTATATGACAATTAGCAGAATTTCCCCAGCATGGAATTAAATATTTTATGTGGGGTAAGATAAAACTATTATATAATAGAAGTCTCGATTTTTGGCTCAAATATTCAGTACTTCTCCTTATTGCACTAACCATGGGAACTATCTTGCTAATCACGCCTTCTATGTGTAGGTCCCAATTTAAGGCACTTGTTAATGTTAGACCCAGATATTTACATTCAGTCACCTCCCTCAATTTGGTTTGGTTAAGGAACAATTGAAGATCACTTTTGGTTCTATTTTTCTGTTGTATATTCATATATACGTTTTGGTTTCATTTATAGAAAGTTTATTTTTGCATAACCATTTATAATACAGGTCTAAGTCCTCATTTGGACTTTTCTCAAGAGTTTTTGGGTCACTATGTGATAGTATAAGCACGGTGTCATCAGCGAACATAAAGTATCTTGATTTAAGTTCCAAATATTTCAGGCTGTGGACATCATAAAATAGTTTTGAATGGCTAAAAAACGGCTTTTTTTACCACCAAAAGTTCCTTCTATAATCATAACAAGATAACCTTATAAGGGTTATTAAAAATGTTATGGTACTAATATTATAATGTATTTAGTACAGAAAAAATGCCTAGCAAGCATTTTCATAGGATCTATTAATGGTAGAAAGTTGAATTTACTGGATTTAATATTACCGTTTTGACGCATGCGCATTTGGCAACCTTCTTAGGACGGGTATTATAAAACTACTTTGACAGTTAACTAAAAGTTAACTTCTGGAATTTCATAGTTATTCCAGAAGTTAACTTTTAGTTATTTTGTCAAAATAGTTTTATAATACCCGCCATAAAAGTTGTTTAAAATACCATGGAATCACTATTTGCTATATCGAAAATGGTAAATGTTACAAAATAGATACCATTTCTGATACCTATAATAATTTTTTCTTCAATTAGATTTCAGAAATGACAATTTTTTCATAATTCATCCAGCTGTGTAGCTTTCACCTTTTTTCCTATATAGCAACAGTGGCATACCTATGGTATTTAAAAAATTCTATCTGCGTTAAAATTTTGCCGAGAATTTTGCAAATAACCAATGATTACCCTGCTTTTTTATCGAAACAGAGTGTCCCAAAAAAGTTCCCACTACTTACCATTATTATTAATACCTACCTAATTATGTACATCAGGGAAGAGGTAAACATAAAAGATAAGATGGTATTTTTTAAACCAAACTTTTATTGATTATTACCATTTGAAACATAAACTAAATCATGAACATAAAACGAACTAAAAATTCTCTTAATTTTAAGTAATGGTGAAAATAGGAACTAAAAATAAATTGTGTTTCAAACATAACTAAATATTCTTTTCTGAAAATATAAGAAACCAAGATTTTCCTAATTTTAAGCAATGGTGAAAATAGGAACTAAAAATAAACTGTATTTCACACATAAACTAAATATTCTTTTATGAACATATAACAAACTAAAAATTCTCTTAATTTTAAGCAATGGTGAAAATAGGAACTAAATATAAATTGTACTTCAAGGTGAAAATAGGAACTGAAAAAAAAAATTGTTTTTCAATGTGAACAACATGAACTGAGTATAATTTGGAATATTCTTATCATTTTGTCATTCTAGGTTTTATTTCTATTGGTTTTATGCTATTGACTGGAAACAACTTTCTTTACAATCTTAGCCTTATTTTTCTTATTCCAAAATTTCCCTTGAAAACACCAAGCAAAAGATACCTTCATTAATACTGAGACAGTTGAAAATGATTATGTATACATGTCCAAGAAAAGGATGAGAAAGCATTAGGATCTGGAGAACGGTAGGAATTACAATGTTGGGTAGATGACGAAAAAGTTGCGCAATTTTCCGCTCAATAAAATAATACTTTGACATTAAGAAAATTCCAAGTACTTTCCGAGATAACCGGATATTGCAAAATTTTGTGTTTTTCCGGATATTTTTTAAAATGTTCGGAATTTTCCAAATGTCAAGGTACCATTCTATTAAGCGTTAAAATACGCAACATTTTCCTGATCTAACCTACATTGTAATTTCAACCGCTCTCCAGATTCAAATGCTTTCTCATCCTTATCTTGGACACATTGTAACCGGTGATTGTCTATATTTTGCACCCACACCTATCTCAACCGATTGAAGAGATACCCAGGAATATCAAATGTGAAAGTTATAGGTAATATCAGAAAGTTTTCAATGATGTTAGTTACAAGTATACAGGGTGTATCACAAAAGTGTGGCGAAGCAAAGTTATACTTTTTTAAATGGAAAGCCCCATATATTATTGTCCCATTGAATTAGCCTTTGAAACCTGATTCCAAATATACTAGGTTTTTCAGGGTTATTCCTAATAGCCCAGGACAAAATAGCACAAAAAGGGGTGGAATAATTGCACTTTTATTGAATAAGGTGAAGTATAGAGACCACCAGCAAAATATAAACGTAATCATTCATGTAAAAAAATCCATATTATTTCTTCAAAATAGAACATTCAGAGGCTGGACTATAAGGAATAGACCTAAAAAACCAATAGTATATTTGGAATCAGGTTTGAAAGGATAATCCAAAGGGACAGTAATATACAGGGTTTTCCATTTAAAAAAGTATAATTTTGCTTCGCCACACTTTTGTGATACTTGTAACAAAGATCATTGAAAACTTTCTGGTATTTCCTACAACTTTCACATATGGGCGTGGCTGCAAAATATAATCTATCACCCGGTTCATAGTATGTAACCCTTTCACGAATTCTGAAATAATGATACTTGGAATAATTCAAATAAGTTTTCTTGTCTAGTATGAGGCTTTGCTACACTTACACAGTGATAAAACTTTTATTCAATCTATTCACTATGGTAGCTTTATCCAAATATTTATCAAAAATTAAACATTTGGTATCAGATTTTTCAGAAACCTCATAGGCAAATAAGTGCTCATTAAAATTGAGAATTTCGACAACGTTATAAATTATGAAAATAACATTCGCGTCGTTGAAGACTATGTTTTTAATCTTTGCAAAACAAGGATTTTCATCAAATGACTTTTTTTAAATTAATGTGTCGCCGGTTTTATAATTTGCATTATTGTAAGTAAATTTATCTGTCGTATTTACTTTTTCAGAAAGAAATTCCTTAATCTTATCCAGTAAATGATCACTGCCACTTCATTTTTCAGCTACCTCTTTACAATAAGCAATAAAATCAGAATTGGCACTATGGCGTTTAGAAAAAGAAATATCGTTCTCAAAACCATTATTTAATATAAGCCTAGAAGCCATATCTAACTGATGCCTGATGGCTAAACTATAAGTTATATTAATTCTGGACGAAATTACATTAGCTAATAATTTCAAACTGCGGTGTTTTGATTCGTATCTTAAAGTCATTATTTTTTTTAAAGGGCCCACTTTAATCATTAGAGATGGGTAATGTGTGAGAATATGAAATTTTGGCTTCAAATGTTGTTTGAATAACTCCATATACGATAGCTGATGCTGTTGTATTAGCATAGCCAAGTCTTCACTTAATTTTGTTGAAACAAAATCAGATAAAATCATGTCCACAATTTTCCTAAGTGATAAAAAAAATGACCAATGCTTATTGCCTTCAGGTACTAAGTGGCCGAATAATAAACCAAAACATAAAATTAAATTTTTCAATTCCGAAGCACTCATTCTGATATGTTTTTTCTTAATATTATCAATTGAAAGTGTTGGCGGTCTATTTGAATCGGATCCAAAGTTGAAAAATGTTAATTTACTGTTGAAAACATCGAATGAAAAATATTTGTTGACAATAATTAGTTGATATAATATTTCCGCCATGTCGTAACTCCCAATACCCTCAAAAATATCATGTGCAATGTCCACAGAAAAGTTTTCTGTGACGTGTAATTTGTTAATTTTATTAAAAATAGGGGAAAATTTAATACCCGTCAGAAAAGGATTATTCATTGTAAGATCTGAATTATAATTGTAAATGTCTCTGACAGAAGTTTTATTCTCAAAGCACAATTTTTGAGTATCAGATTTAACACATTTGCAGAATCTACAAAAAGAATTTGCCAGAAAGCTTTCTTGGAAACCCAAAATTGTATTTAAGCCCAAATTGTCACCCAAAATACAAGCGAAATGAAAATAAATTTATTTTGGGCTGTTTTCAGATATCATGACTTCTATACCTTCTTGTTTTAAATCCATAGATTGGAAAAGAACTGCTAAAAATATATTTTCTAGCTTTGACTGAAATGATGTAGGTAAACAACCCACAGAATAATATAATGCACCTAACTTATGAATTCCTGCGTGAAACCCCAATTTGCAAACAAAAATACTATTTTTTTCAAGTCCATGTATAATTTTAAGATGCATGATAAGAGCGTTTATTTTATAGAAAGTATTATTGCATATAAAACATAAAAACATCTTGATAATGATGTCAGAATGTTAATTAATTAAGCAGAAAAAAAAATTCAACCAAACCAAGAGACCTGTCTAAAAATATTTCAAATTATACTCATTTTTCGAAATCTTAGTGAGTTTAAGACTTATTCTCCTTTGGAAATGTGATATTGAATATCCGATAGAAGGGAAGAGGCAGTTGGATTTTTCTTCATGCTCCTTATATTAAAAACAGCCTCTTCCAGAAAAGACCAAACGTGCTGACTCTCAGCCGGGTATTCAACATCCATGCTATGGAAAAACTTGAAAAGAAGTTCCAAGGTTCGTACACATGACTCGCATGTGTACTTCACGCCATCTGCATATATCATAAAACCATTCGGTTCCTTCAGTGGTCCGATTATGATTCCGAATGGTTGTAAAGTCAAATCAAATTTTTTCAGTTTTTCTGTCCTACTGGCAATTTTTTCGTCCACTTCATCCTGTGTCTAAATAGTTATTTACATTCCAAGCTGCGAAAGTATACTTTTAGGTGCGAGGTGTATTTAAATAGCCGAGGCGAAGCGGAGCGCAGCCGAGGCTATTTGAATATCTCCGAGCCCATAAAAGGACTTTTGCAGCGTGTAATGTATTAAACTTTTCATTCTTCCCCCGATTTTATTTAAAACCATTCAAGTTATAAAATACACAATTTACAGATGCTGAAAATTTTCTGGGCCTAACGCGGTTTATTGCCATAACAATATTGCAGTGGCGGCTATTCAGGTGCATTAGGTGAAGTGCCACTTCACCGAAAAATTAAAAAATAAAACCAAAAAATATGTACAACTAATATTCAGTTTTTTCCAGCCGCCACTTAAAAAAAAGTAGAATGACCACTGTTTGGAAATCACGTATTTCAAATTCCTATTAAAATTAAAATTATTCTCTCAAAATAAGGAAATTTATAAAATTCTCCAAACTGCGTAGTATCCTAAAGGTACAAGTTAAAACCTGTTAAAATCACACTATTGGCATGATGATGCAACCTTTATCTTCAGATAAGGAGAGAAAGGCAGACGCCAGTAAGGGCGGGCAGTACCATTTCAGTGATCGAGAAGGGTTGTTGCCGTTTGCAGAACTCTAAATGCACAGTCTCGTGTTTCTCGCACAAAATCAATAATTAATTTATCGTGGTACGAAATTGCTAGTTAATTGAGTGTTAATTCCTCGGTTAAGCCTCTGGAGAATTATTCCAGGCTTTTATTTTATAATACGCGCAACAATATACCGTTGACTCCTACTGCAATAAATTAACTACCTGGATTAGACCCTATTGTATAGGCCCCAACCTCTTCAAAGCTCAATAAATGGAATCAGGGTCGGCTTAAACATTTAGGTATTACTCACATTTTTTCTGACTTCTATATTAGATATATATTTTCTACGAAGTCTTCAATCAAGTGTCTGCTTTAGCGACAAGTTTGTTCTGGTCTACAAGACAAGTAGAGTGGTTTTCTTTGCAATCACGGATTTTGTTGACAATTGTTCCTTTTGTGAATTGCAAAGCTTTTACAAAATTTATAATTATTAAAGTTATAACTATTAGTGAATAAGTGTAAGTGTTTTCTTTCTACTCCTTTCTTGGCTATAGGTCAAGCGGTCCTTCGAAGAATTGTCCTTACAAGAAATTAGCCCTATGGATAAATCCTGACTGTTCAGGTGTGGCATTCAACGGTTTTGTTGCCATTGACTATAATGGATGAAGAGGAAAAATAAAAACTATCCTGTTTATACATTATTTTGGTCCTTCGAGCCGGATGTAGCTGCAGATTAGATTTGCATTGCTAGTGAACTCCACAGACTGTAAGTTTTTGAACATTATTATTTATTCTCATCAGACTTTTCATTGGATTGGGATTGAGTGAATTAACTATAAGTTTAATATCTATATCTGGACCTCAGAGCCAAATGGTATTAAGTCCACGTTTTTAAGATTTTAGGGTTATGAGTGATTCTTATTTAAAATTTTCCGCTTTTTCTAGTTGAAATAAGTATTAAGTCACATATCTATCCTTTTCTATTATAACCGAATAAAAATAGTATCTTGTCCTTTTCTTACCAGAACCAAACAGTTCTAAGTAATGTTAATACTGATTGGCTCTGTAAAAATAAAAGTTTAAAGTATTAAGTCCGGTACGCTGGTATTATGTCCAAATGCTAGGTCAGGTTGTGTGACTTAATACTGATTTTATTTGTGCCGGTCTGTTTTTGTTATGGTCGTTCGTTGTTACAACGAGCTCAATCATTCAACTTAAGAAAAAAAGTGTGTCGTTTGTGCATAATTTTTGAAATGGCGTCTGGTCGAAGCCAAAAAATTTTGGATCTGTTAAAAGCCAAGCCACGGAAACATCTCAGAAATCCTTCACAGATTGAACGTGCTACTCGTACAAGTACAGGTAAGTCTTGATTCAGGTAACTATGTAATAGATCGTATTTCAAGTTAAAAAAATTAAATGAAAATCGATATTTTCTGTACAGATAGTTGTAGAAAACATGACACTATTATATTTAGGTAACAATGTCATCGAAATGGTCACTAAGACGGAGTCTTATCCAGATCCAGATGAAGACAAAGATGAGGCAGCTGTAACTACGGAAAATTTGGAAATGATAAGAAAGTCAACAATTGATGAAGTTACAACACCGCCGGCGGAGACTAGCCAGCAAATTATCAAAATGGTGAAAAAGTCATCAATTGACGAAGAGACCAGGCAAATAAATAGTGAGTGTAAGAAAAGTTAATCAAAAACAAAAAAAGAATCAAAATATTTTTATCACATTCAGGATAGACTTTTATTTATTATTTTTGTTTTCAGGTAGCACGCCTGAACTAAATGCAGAAGCAGAGGTAATCATGGAACTCTATCCAGTAGAATCCATAACGGATGTTATGTATCAAAATATAAAAATTCTGGCCACTGGGACTGAACAAGGAGCTTGTCTAACTGATTCCATAGAACTTCTTGAAGACGCTTTAGCAATAACTACTGCAGAAGAGGAGCAGTTGTTGCTGGAAAGCATTGTAGATTCTGAAATCGATGGAAATAAAAATCAGGACATATCAAGCAATGATCATACAAATCCTTTAGAGATACAATCAGCTGAAAAGGAGCTAAGTAACGCTAGTGACTTAGACGACCCCCTTTACGAACCAAACGAAGAAAGTGACACCCTTAGCAACAACGAAACAAATGAAGAAGAGATGGACAACGAAACAAATAATGAAGAAGAGATGGACAACGAAACAAATAATGAAGAAGAGATGGATAATAATCAAAACAATAAAGGTAGAAAGCGAAAAAGAAACCATAAAGCATGGAAAAAAAACATAAGGAAAAAGGAAAGAGCTGCTGGCCATGAGTATTTGTCCAGCAAGAATAAAATTATTCCAAAAAAGGAAATGAAGGAAACCTGTCAGGATGGTTGCCGAAAAAAGTGCACACAAAAGATAACAACTGATGAGCGTTTATCTATCCATACTCAGTTTTACAATAAAGACTTAGACATCAACCAAAAGAGGCAGTTTATTGCAAGCTGCATAGAAGAGGTTCCAGTTGAACGTGTTCGCGTTAGAACAGGCTCGCGTATCGGAAAAAGAAAATCTACTCTTAACTACTTTTTTACGGTAAATAATAAGAAGGTTAATGTTTGTCGTACTCACTTCTTAAATACTCTTAATTTATCCCAAACATCTGTTAGATTTGCATTAAAAAAACGACAGTCAGGCGGACTCGTAACGGTCGACCAAAGAGGGAAGCACGAACCATCGAATAAAATTGGAGTCAACGAGAGAAATATGATAAAAGAACATATCAGCAAGTACTTAGGAAGTCACCTTAATATTTCCAAAATGTACGAGCTGTTTTTTGAAGAATGTAGAAACCAAATTCCTCGGGAAGAAATACCTAAAAAATGGCTTTATGCTGACATTTTTAACACTGAATTTAATTTGTCTTTCAAGGAACCAAACAATGATACATGTGATGCCTGTGATGAATTTATTATAAAACTAAAAGAAAATTTGCCTAATGAAACGCGTATTGACACTCAGAATGAATATGATGCACACCTGTCAGATGCAGACAATCGATACCAACTGAAGAAGCAAGATAAGGAAGCATCAAAAAATGTAAGAAACTGCAACGTTCTAACTGTTGATTTACAAAAATGCCTACCTACGCCGCTTCTCAAAAATGCTCAAAGATTTTACAGCTTAAAACTTTGGACCTTTA